CCCCCCCCACCAATTGTATGTCCCCAGTTCATGGTGCTGGTTGTAGTGGTGTTCATCCTGCAGTTGACCCTGGGCGCCATCGTGTTCTTCCTCATGGAGGACATAGAGGCCCGGATGTTGGGCGTCATGCGGTCAGTGGTGGTCAACTACGTGCAGGACAGTGGTCAGTCCGATGACCTGGCCTTGGACTATCTGCAAAGAGAGGTACATGGAGTCAATGTTTGTCAAGTTATAAGTTTATGCATTTTAACCTCTAATTGACTTACGTACTCTAGTAATGATAATGTTGTATATAATTATGCGCATATTTTATATATCGATGCCTGTGCATACACACAATAATATTATTATCTTGAAAATAAACGATGTCTGTGTATATTAAAATATACAATGTTTGCACACATTAATTATAAACAACCAACGTACATGCATTCACTTTCGTAAATTATCGAACTTGAGTCGATGGAGGCGTAACAGATTTACTTTTTCTGTTACTATTTTGTTAATGAACTGATGAAATTAAATGTCGTTCAACAGCCCCCCCCCACACACACACATCCACCATTCACACAGGCAGGCCTACATTACGTTCATTTCCACACTTCAAAATCAAACATCATTCTCTTGTTTGTTGTATGTATCGCCTGTTGCATGATTATGTCGTTCTTGACAAATATTTCTCTGACCCCCTCTATCCATCTTTTGCTGTGCCAGCCCTTTCCTCTATTTCCATATATTAAATTATCATCTCTCAGAGTGTATGCTCTTTCTCTCTCTGCTATACTGTCTGGTGTAGTCTTGACAGAAATGTCCAACCCATTTAATTTCGTTGTTCATATTTCATGTATTGTAAGCTCTAAGCAGGAAGAGGAAGTTGAGCCATTTGGTCAACTTATTATTTATATTTATGTTAATTGGTAGCTTTTAAGGACAAGCGGACTAAGCTAGACTTTGGGGGTTTCCAGAAATTTTGACCTACACCAAAAGTGGGCATTACCCTACCTACAGGAGAAGTTCGGTTTCATTGGTGTGTATATTTGTTTGGTTATAGAGAAAACTCTCCTTGTCTTTTAAAGATACTGAACAAGGGGCAAAAACTTTACTTTCGATTTTCTCAAAACAGCATTTTTCGGGATAGTCCCCTTGTGTTTTTAAAAGCGACCAATTTAAATATATTATTATAAACATGCACATTTCCTCTTTCTGTGTGTGTAGTTCCAGTGCTGTGCGGGGTCCAGCTACTCGGACTGGGAGGCTAACCCACACTTCAACTGTAGCCACCTGGCTCTGGCTACCTGTGGTGTGCCCAGCTCATGTTGCCGCGGCTCCACTGACATGCACTGTGGCTACGGAGTGCGAGAGGGCACGGTGAGACATAACGACGATGATACTACTACTACTACTACTACTACTACTACTACTACTACTACTACTACTACTACTACTCTCTTGCTGCTGCTGCTGCTGCTACAGCTGCTGTTGCTTTTGCTAATCATCATCATCAAAGAAGAAGAAGAACAAGAACAAGAACAAGAAGAAGAAGAAC